GAATTACAACTGATTCCTTTCCTTTGCAAGAATTCATAATCAATGTCACACAGGAGAAAATATATCCCAGTTATTTAACTCGACAGACCACCTATGATCTTCGGGTATTTAAGTATTCAACAATGATGAAAAAATCAGAGACAATCAGCCAGCTCTTTGACAGCAAAGATAATGAGATTCGCGATGATAACTGGCCTGGAGTTCCTCGTTTGCAGACAGTGCCACTCATGGCGGACCTCGAGTTTTGGCCTTCAGAGATAGATCTGGGTCTGGATGCGTCTCAGCGGAGAGCTCTGAGGAGTGCACTTACCAACAAACTCGCCATCATTCAGGGTCCTCCAGGAACAGGAAAAACGTTTATTGGACTCAAGATTACACAGACGCTTCTCCACAATAGCGAATTTTGGAAAAAAAGACACTCACCTATATTGGTAGTGTGTTTCACCAATCATGCTCTTGATCAATTTCTTGAGGGAATTGCAAAATTCACAAAAAGCATTGTCCGGGTTGGCTCAAGAACGAAAAGTGAGGTGATTAGTGACTTTCAAATAAGAACACTTATAAATGTTGTTAAAAAGAGAAGACAAATGCCTGAAGATGTTTACGAGCTGAATCAGACTAGGTACCAAGATGCATTAGTGGCAGAGAAGGAAGTAAAGCAATGGAAGTCAGTATTGGAAGAGACTGAAAATCCACAAGGCATTCTTCAAAAACGTGTCTTTCTGGCTGAAAAAGTGATAACAGATAATATTGCAAGTCAAATTCAGAATATTTCTCTAAGGTCCTGGTTGATGGATCCATCAGTCTTTGGAAAAGAAAGAACTATTGGAGATACTGTCCTAGATGACCCAAAGGCCCCAGCAGATGAGAATGACGACGAACTTTGGGGCGATGCTGAGGAACTCATGGCTGATGAGGAAAGTGAGAGGATGGTCGAAATGGAAGACGACTTGAACACACTGAAGCATGCCACTCCCCGAAGTGTTCTAGACTATGAAATGAATATCAAGAACTTGGAGAAAGAGTTGTTGGATCTGAAATCGGAAGATGTGGAAGAGATGGACGAAAGTCTGCAGTTTAGACATAATCTAAATGTAGGAATGTTGAAAGTTCTGAGGCATGGTCTTCAGACAGTAAGACGGGACTCCAGTGCCGATTTAGAGAGAGCTGAAACTAGGTTACATATCAAGAATCTGTCTTTCAAAGATCGATGGCTCCTCTACAAGATATGGCTCAAGCGATTGAATAAAATAGTAAAGGAAAAATTTGAAATAGCAGAAAAAGAGTTCCAGAGGTGTTCAAAGGCCTTGGAAGAGATTCGCATCCAGGAAATGCTTCATATCATGAGACATGCAGCAGTGGTGGGCATGACGACGACGGGAGCAGCTCAGAACACAGCCGTCCTACAAGCACTTCAGCCATCCATAGGTGAGCTCCTGTCCTTTAACCTCTTTTTGTGACGTTTCTTCTCCAAACTGTGTGAATGTATATAAATATAAATTAATATATATATATACATATATATATACATACATACATATATATATATATATATATATATATATATATATATATATATATATATAGATATAGATATACGTACAGGTACATATTCATACACTATGTGTGTGTGTACATGTTTTTACATATTTCAGTGATCATAGAAGAAGCTGCTGAGATCCTAGAGGCACACGTCATCACTTCTCTTTCCAGAAAGTGCAAACACCTAATAATGATTGGTATGACTGAAAGACCTCTTTTGTTTTTGTGATTTAAACGTAGGTATGACAACGTATCCGCTGATGAAATATGCTGATAAGATTGCCTGTTAATGTTTACAACACCTTATGAACACTATTTCGTTCGGGAAAACGTTTTCGTGTTCGCCATGCTTACCTTTTCCGAAGTCAGAGGTCATGGAAAATAACTCTTTATTCCTTAGTTTGTTTGGTATTTAAGAATCTGTGATGGGAAATGCATAAGCAATGGCATGTGTTGGATATTGGTGATGATAATCCGATCTGTACGCTCAGGTGATCACCAGCAACTGCAGCCAAGTGCCACCGTATACGAACTGGCCACTAAATACAAGCTGGAAATTTCTTTGTTCGAAAGGATGATTAAGAATGGTCTACCGTAAGTACGAGATTAATGTGTGGTAAAAGAGGAAGTTGATCCAAAAGTAAACAACTTTTCCTTCTGCTTTTCCGGAAGTTGACTCAAAAACTTTAACTCCAAAAGTAAACGTTTTCTTCTGCTTTTCCGAAAATCGACTCAAAAGCTTTAAAATTTTACTTTCTAGCCTCTTTGCAAATCAAATCCTGTAATCGCCCCATTTGATTTATATTTCGCATGAAGTTATGAGACTTTGGATTATCAACACCGGATGAGGCCTGAAATATCCTCCTTGCTTGTCCCATCCATTTATCCGCACCTGAAGAACCATCCGTCAGTGGCTGAGTATCCGCGCATCAAGGGAGTCACTGCAAGCCTCTTCTTC